AAAGTCGAAGTTTCATGAAGCTATATCGTTTACTTATTGTCTTGTATTTAAAATAGAAAGCAAAAACAAATTGCCTCTTAAATGCACATAGGTGCCATCTGAGATGGCTTAGGGCAAACATGTTGCACCTAGGCGCCATCTCACTTAGCGCCTCCTTCTAAAATTAAAGTGCATGCGCCATCTCACTTGGCGCCTCCATTGTGAGATTTTCTGAAACATGATTATTTGCGTAATTTTCTCCAAAACATGGTTATTTGTGTATTTTTTTTCAATACTTGATTATTGCTAAAAAAAAATCAAAAAATCAACCTAATTTTCACTATTTTTTTAAATTAAAAAAAATTATATTCTTACAATTGCTCCTATTTCAAATGATACATTATATTCCTAGAATTACTCCTATTTCAGAGCATCTCCAATAATGAAAACTTAGTAATTTTTAAATTTTTAAATTTTTAAATTTTTAAATTTTATCGTTTATTTTTTAACCATTGAAATGTATTAATGTGACAACATTGGTTGAACGGAGTTTGTTGAAACAATTTAAAAAATGGAGAACTTAACAATAAATATTATTATTTTTGAACCAATTCAATTGAAAAGAGATTATTAAAATGTAATACAAATAAAATAATATAAATTGATGGAATCAAATATAAATTACTTATTTATAATTACCATTGAAGTAAAAAATAGTTGAAATTGCTTAGAGCTTACTTAAATCCAATGTGGCAATTTAAATCCACAAAATATGACACAACTAATAAAAAAAATTCTTCCATTAAAGATTCTCTAATATGCATTTCAACTAGGGTGGCAAAACAATTCCAATGTGTTAGACATTATTATCGGTTTTATCTATACTTTATACACCTTTAATATATCTGCTTCATTTATTATATATTTTTTTAGTTTTGAAATACAAATATTAATTTAAAAATTTATAATTTTTAAATTTAAAAAATGCAATATTCACGAACCAATCTTACAAAAACTTTTTTTTGTGTTGAAAATATCACAATTTTACGATCACTGCCTCAACAAAATCCACTCTGCTCTTCCCAGCTACAATTTTTTAGCATACTTTTGCGAATCGTACCAGAACAGAGCGTCCAGGCTGTTTGCACCCCTAATTTCAATGCTAGTACACCTATTATTTTTTTAATGCAATATTATTATTAGTATTTAATTGCTACCAGAAATAACTAGTTATTACTTTTTATATGTAACGTTACAATTATTTTATTTATACTTTTTTAGCCACCGTTATTATTTTTATTAATTTATTTCCATTTATATAAAGTTTCCTAATCTGTCCGCATACAGAATCATAAATTATAATTTTACTGTATAATAAAATTGTATTTATAAAATTGTAGATAAACCCCCAACAATTCATTATATCAGTCACATGATTTTTCTAATTATCTGAAACATAAAGTTCCAAATAAATAAATGAATACACATGGATAACTTTAATCAGACGTGTATAACAAATTTAATCCACAAATTTAGAAACAAAAAAGAATGATAATCTAGTAATAAATAATTTGATTCTCTATTAACTTAAAAAAGATATTTATTTTTAAAAAGAAAAATACTAGTAGTAAATCGTAATTGATTATATTGACAGCTCAACAAAATGAAAGATAAAGCCAAAGTTTTCTACTCATCCCTCTATATAAATCAAAAACCTACTTTCTCTTCCTTACTCTTATTCTTATTTCTTTCACTATTCTTGTTTTCTTCATCCTTCATCGGAGAAAAAAATGCCTGCAGCCGGAATCCCCATCGGAGCGGGGAACAAGGAGTACCCCGGAAACTTAACTCCTTTCGTCACCATAACATGTGTTGTTGCAGCCATGGGTGGTTTGATTTTTGGCTACGATATAGGAATTTCAGGTACATAATCTTAAAAATATTCAAACAAAAATAAACTTTGTTATTATGATATTTTTCGGAGAATAATGTATTTTTGTTTTGTTTTAGGTGGTGTTACTTCAATGAATCCGTTTCTTGAGAAATTTTTTCCGGCGGTGTACCGGAAGAAAAACGCGCAACATTCGAAGAATCAGTACTGTCAATATGACAGTGAGACACTGACCTTGTTCACATCCTCGTTGTACCTGGCTGCGCTTTTGTCGTCGGTGGTTGCTTCAACGATCACTAGAAGGTTTGGTCGGAAACTCTCCATGCTTTTCGGAGGCTTGCTTTTTCTGGTCGGTGCTCTCATTAATGGCCTTGCTCAAAACGTTGCGATGTTGATCGTCGGTCGGATCTTGCTCGGATTCGGTATCGGGTTTGCGAATCAGGTATCATTATTTTTTGTACTGTAGAATATTATAGTATCTCATAATAATAGTAAGTAGTTACAAAAAAATTATGGTATTTAAATTTTATACGAAAGTGATTGTGACGTGATGAATAAATAAATGAGGTAACGGCGAAATTTGAAAATATCCTATTTAGTGGTATTTGGAATCGGTTGATATTGACTTAGCCTTTTGAACTCTGCAAATTGGACTTTGTTTTGTTGCGTTGTAAAGGAAGAATCTTCGCCTTATTTTTCTCTGCTAACATGCTTTGAATGCGATTTCTTGGATATCACAATTATTGTACCCCGTTTTTCTTTCTACTTTGCATCATTTTCCAAGTCTTTGTATTATAAAAATAAAAATATTATTATAAATACTGTTTTAAAATCTGTAGAAGCTAGTGTTAGTGGTCCTACATGGTGACTTATTCAAATAACTTGTGAATTATTGGTTAGTGATTCTTAATTATGGTTTTTTGTTGTTTTGAATTTTACAGTCTGTGCCATTATACTTGTCTGAGATGGCTCCATACAAGTACAGAGGAGCGTTGAATATTGGATTTCAATTGTCAATTACAATTGGAATACTTGTGGCCAATATTTTGAACTACTTTTTTGCCAAAATCAAAGGTGGATGGGGATGGAGATTGAGTTTAGGTGGTGCTATGGTCCCTGCACTTATAATAACCATTGGTTCGCTAATCCTTCCCGACACGCCAAATTCCATGATCGAGCGTGGGGATCGCGATGGTGCCAAGGCACAGCTTAAGAGAATTCGTGGAGTTGAAGATGTTGATGAAGAGTTTAATGATCTTGTGGCTGCTAGTGAAACGTCGATGCAGGTTGAAAATCCTTGGAGGAATTTGTTGCAGAGAAAATATAGACCTCAGCTTACTATGGCTGTGTTGATTCCGTTCTTCCAACAGTTTACTGGAATTAACGTTATTATGTTTTACGCGCCTGTGTTGTTTAACTCGATTGGGTTTAAGGATGATGCTTCACTTATGTCAGCTGTTATCACCGGTGTTGTTAACGTTGTTGCTACTTGTGTCTCAATTTATGGAGTTGATAAGTGGGGGAGAAGAGCTCTTTTTCTCGAAGGTGGTGTTCAAATGCTTATTTGTCAGGTATTGTTTTAACTTAAGTTTAGAGCCTAGTACTCAAATTTTTGTATGTGAACTGTTTCATTAATTCAATGTTTGTTAATGTTTTGCAGGTTGCAGTTGCAGTTTCAATTGCGGCCAAGTTTGGAACAAGTGGAGAACCTGGTGATTTACCAAAGTGGTATGCTATAGTAGTTGTGCTTTTCATATGCATTTACGTTGCTGGATTTGCTTGGTCATGGGGTCCTCTTGGTTGGTTGGTGCCTAGTGAGATTTTTCCATTGGAGATCCGTTCTGCTGCGCAGAGTGTCAACGTCTCGGTCAACATGCTCTTCACCTTCTTAGTTGCACAGATTTTCTTGACTATGCTTTGTCACATGAAGTTTGGATTGTTCCTCTTCTTTGCCTTCTTTGTGGTGGTGATGACAATTTATATATACACTATGCTGCCTGAAACTAAGGGAATACCAATTGAAGAGATGGACAGAGTATGGAAATCACACCCATATTGGTCTAGATTTGTTGAACATGATGACAATGGTGTTGAGATGGCCAAGGGAGGTGTTAAAAATGTATAATTTATCAGTCTTGCTTTTATTTTTATTTTTGTTACTAATTAGTTTTATTTTTATTTTGCTTGTGAAGCTTGGTATTGAATTGTCCTTAAAAAATTACTGGGTTATTTTTATCATACGTCCCCTTGTTTCTATTTACATGTGCATTAAAAATTGGCTTCTAACACAAAATTGAGTTCATTATTTTCTGAAATGGGAAACATGAGTCCCGGGGTGTGAAGAATCAAGCTTCACATGTTTTTGTAGTACAATTTTGTTTTCCTTTAATTCTCATTAATGTAATCATGAGAGTATAAGACCTTTCGGTGGACAAGAGTGACCATGAAATGATAATATAATGCAATGTGTCTGATATCATGAGAGAAAAGAAACTAATCTTGGGAGCCAAAAGGTATTCCATTTATTTTGGTGATCTAATCTCTATTATTCTATTTTCTACAACCATGTTTTATAACAACACTGTGCTTTTGGATAACATAGAATTTAAGAAATGATGTAACAAAAACCAGTAAAACTGTAACAAACACAACAAAAAACAGATTTACTTTCATACCAGAATTGCAGATTTTGGCCTATAAAACCAGTCAAACTTAATTATGCAAAAACTGGAATTGCACAAAATCATACAGGATAAGATTTAGGTTAAAGCCCAATTGAAAGAAACACATAAAACTAGAACTAGAAAACAAAATAGCGCGTAATGAGATTCTCAATAAATAACAATGCATACAGGATAAGATTTAGGTTAAAATAGAACCTACCTATTTAACTAGGATTGCTATCATTTAAATTTAAATGATAGTAATTTTAAGGAAAAGTAGTTATTGACCTAATTTAATTAAGGATTCTCATTCTATTATTGTAAGTCTATTTAAAGACATTCAGATTATCAATAAAAATCATCAATAATTATTATAAAAAATACTTGTGAATTCAATAAGAGACTCTATCAAGGACGAGTAGGTCGTAGCAAAGTTTCTACCACATCTAGGACTGTGTCAACACAATTCAAGACAAAGGGACATTAAAATTAGAATCTGAGGCCGTCCAATGAGAACTCCATAAGTTATTTTTGGCAACCATCCAAGCTTCAAAATTATTCACTCCAGCCATGGCACTTGCCATAGTGATTAATGCTAGCGGCAATCCTCTGCATTCTTTAGCCATTTCACGTGCTAGCTTTGGGATCTCTAAGTGACATTTTAAAGTCTCATCACCTACTTTCTTACAAAACAAATCAAATGCATCATTCTCTGATAAACATTCTACTTTGAATTTCTTTTGAGCTTGCATTATACCACACACATGTTCAGATCGCGTTGTGAACATTACTTTCGATTTGTTATTTGTTTTCAAATCAGGAACTCCTATTGCTTCTAGGTCTAGATTTCCCCACAAATCATCTAACATCAACAAAAACTTTTTTCCATTCAATCGGTCATAAATAGTTGCTACTCTTTGGTCTTGAGTACTTCTATTCCAAAAACTTTCATCAATTTATTGCTCATGTCATTCATTACTTTATTGATATAACAATCTCTAGAAACCACTACCCATAACACTAGATCAAAACTATGCTCCCTCTTTCCTAATTCATTGTGAATTCTTTTCATAAGAGTTGTTTTTCCGACCCCACCCATTCCATATAAACCAATTACTCCAGCATTGTCATCCTCAAGAGAATTCCATACTCTGTGGACCATCAAGTCTAAGCCTTTAGTCTCACTAGAAGGCATCTCATACAAGAGTTTCTAGATCAAAAAGTATTTAATGAAACATATTGTTCTTACCTATGATGAAACTCTTGTGTGATTATTTATTTAATTGGACGCCTATGACAACATTTATAGAACATAGCTCAAGATTATTTTCTAAAGTTTAGAAAGGAGTTTTGATTTTGGTTTTGCTTTGGTTAATGATAATGAATAATTCCTCATCAAAATGAAAGCAAGGAATCAGAAAGTTATGGTAAGAATGAAAATTGTACTAAGGAATTAAAAAAGTGAGGAAGAAAAGGATATGGCATTGAGACACAAACCTTTCATTTAATTCATGTATAGTAACAGTAACGGCTTCTTATTCACTTTTCATTTCATGCTTCCAATTGTGTAAATAATAAGGTTTAATTTATAAATAAATAATTTGTTAATCAATTTTAGTTATCCCAAATTCAAGAAAACCTATAGAGGTATTATCATGTACAAGAGAGTAGCATCATCCCCTTCTTGAATAATGTGGTAAAAATGGATTTTGTCGGTGATGTTCATCAACTGTTGCATAAGGTTTGTTACCCTCTAGCTGAAATGGATTAGGGAACTTCAAGTCAATCAAAGTACTAAATCATAAAGTGAAACAGAACGAAAGATTAAACAGGTATAGTTTATCTTATCAAAGATTCTTCCGACACTTATCCCCTTCGAGGATTACAATAACATAAATGAATAAATAATAGAATATTTACAAATATCACTCAAGGAATTAAACAAGTCTAATTATAAATATAGGTGTTTTGATCTTTCAATAGAAAGCGTAAATAATAAAATCACTTGCTTACTTCTTGTCTAACTTTTATTAGTGCTTTTTTTCTTTCTTTTTAAGTGGATTCTCATATGTTTATTCAAGTATTTACAGTTTTGTTCAGTGAGTTCATTGACGTCGTTTGTGTTGTTGATGAATAAAATACTGAGAAGTTGAGTCTTTCAATAGTTTCTTTTTTCATGATTGTTAGATTATTTTTAACTTTTGATAAAGGAGTTGTGATTCTTGTATTATTTGCAATAGACTATTTCGTATCTTTGTCCTCATAACAGGTCTTATCACGCACAATGTTGTACATTTTGTCGCATAAAGTTTGTATCAATGTAAATTGTATACCATTTCTTAATTGTCTCAAATTTGATCATTGAGAAGGAAAACAACTAAATTATTATTTCCAAGAATAAACTTTACCATAGATTTCTAGATGAATAAACTTGGAGAAAACTGATCTTTTTCTAGAGGAACAAAACTGTTAACTTTATGCTTTAGAGTAAATTAAGGAACTTCATGATGATTTGACTATATATAAATAGATGATAACATTAATCATGTACCAACAGATACCCGGGCAAATCTTCAAGGATGTGTGCATAAAGGATGCTTCAACATATGCAATACAAGATGCTTGATGAAGACATTATAGTTGATTGTAAGATTGTGAAAGGAGAAAGAATAATTTGTTTTGTAAATTATCATAGTGTTTTACATTATGTGTAAAATATTTATCTTTGGTTCATCGTTGTTAGTAAAAATGCTTGGGTGACACTTTTTCCCATGTGCTTGCAAGAATTTTAATGAGGCGTCTTATTTTCTGAATCACCTAATCTTGATTCATAATTCGATGTATCTTTAAAGTATCTGAAATCCACTTGACTGCTTTTCAATGATGTCTTTCTAGTTTAGACATAAACTTACAAATTTGACTTACAGCTTGTGTCAAGTATAGTCTAATGGAGACCATAGCATACATTAAACAACTAATAACACTGACATTAAGAACTACTACTACTACTACTACAATATATTTATCTTAACATGTTATTACCTCATGAAATTATGGTATGCATATATCAAATATCCTAAGAGATGTCGAGACACTGATATATGATCAAAACACAAAGACAATATAAATCACAGATAAGAGTATTGAAAGTAAAAAAGTGAACACACAAAGTTGTTAACCTAGTTCGGTGTACAATAACACTTACGACTAGGGGTTATCAAGCCAAGGGGGAAATCCACTAAATAGTATCAGTTTGTAGACCCAGAACAAACTATCGCCAGTTTACAATCTACTCACATACTCGTGCTTAACTTCTACCTAAGACTCACTTAGTTATGAGACCTTTATCAATTCCCTTTCAATCACAACAGTAATGAAAACGATAACAACTTGAATATTTCAGAAGTCACACTTTAAAGACACACAATCACTCAATGCTTAAAAGCTTAAGAGTGATTAACAGAATTTATAACTCAATAGAGACAATCCTACTTTTATATCAAGATGATATCAGAGAGGCTCACAATAAACACGCAAACCCTAAAACAATAATACACGTTCCACATATAATTAGGTTTGAGATCTTCTATTTATAAAACATCTTCTCGACTGGATTTGGCCATCAAAAACGCAACAAGGCAGTTGCTGAAAGTCTCCATAATTTTCTGCATAAAAATAGGTCTTCAATCAAGTGTTTCCTAAAATGTCTCCATATTTAAAAACACATAATAACCTTTGACTTGCAAATAAAATTTTTTATTCTTCAATCTTGGACGGCACATAGGATAACATAATATTCCCAAAATATTCAGAATCTGTTATAAATCAAATATATCCAAGTGCACGACTGTAACAGACGCGATGCATAATCATCATGATAGGACAACTTGTTCGACATATTTCTCTGCAAGTTAGAACATCTTATTCAACATGTTACTGCCAAGTTTGTTTTACCAAAACTAATGTCAATCAATAATTATAGAGAATTAACAATCTCCCTCTTTGGCAAATTTTGGCTAAAAACAATCAAATAACCCTTGCACACAAACACCAGGTTTGAAAATAAATCAAACACACATATCAAAAGCACAACAGCAGAAAATTTTCAGCAGAAAAATAGACTATCAGAGGCATTAGCAGCATCAATAAATATCAGAGTATCAATTAGTGGAAGCTAATCAACACAACAAAATAGAGAAAAATAAATTCTCAGCGAGATTGATGTCAGGACATCATGTCTAACATCTCTTCACAACAGCCCAATCCAGAGAAAGGGCACCCCCTCAAAAACTGTTAAAATGCACTTCAATGAATCATAAAATGTCCCCCTCAATAGCAGCAGTCAGATAACCAATCAGTTAGTGGTTAGAGCAAATTAGACGCGACTCCCCTTTTTAGCCAAAATATGATAAATGTAAGCATTTTTCTCCTTCACCATTAGCAACATCACCATCAAATGCAACATTTTCACCATCACCTTCAGATCCATCACCATCTAATACAACACTATCAGCAGCAGCAACACACTAGCAGATTCAGCCTGGTTTTCCTCTTCCTCCATCAAAGCTTTAATCAACTTCTCAAGCTTGATTTTCCTAGCAGTGCTTGTCCTGATTGAGTCATCTAACTCCCTGCATGTCTTCTTCAGTTGAACAATTATACCTTTCTTGGAAGTGACAGGACCAGGTACCTGGGAAGATGTCATGATAATATCCGGAACATGTGTTCCACCAAACAGTTTATAATGTAAAGAAAATGGAGATTTCCTTTTCTTCACACTATCAACAACCAATAAAATACCAAAGTGTTGATTCAAGAATGTTCCACAGATGAGAGAAGGAAAACAAATAGGAAGCTTCACAGCATATGAGGATGCTTGCTTCAGAATTTGATCAAAGATGTACGCTCTAAAATCAAAAGCCCTTTCTTTTACCAACAACATGGATGAACTTATCAAGGCCAGTGGAAATAGTGGAGGTATGGTTTGTGGGAACCCAATTAATATTACCAATCCTATTAAGGATTTCATATTTAACACTAAGCCTTACAGCTGACAGCTTTCCTCCATTTGGCCAGTGCTTCAATTGCTCACAGTTATCTCCCTGCAAACTTGATCATCTGTAACCTCTAACTCTGCTCGAGGTTCTTCATATCTGCCCAGAAAATTGTTGATCACAACAAGAGAGAATGTCACAACCTTTCCCTTATCATATACTCTCTTGTAGTCTCCGCTCTTCACACCATCACATCCATAAGGGATATTCACAACAAACTCCTCGACTAACCTTTCATAGCAAGCGTGAAGGTGGGAGTAATACAATTTGAGACTTTGCTTAACCCATTTAAATAGAAGCAATTGCTACAAATCCTCATAAACACAAATACCAAGTTTCCCTATTGATTTTTCAAACTAGACTGCATCCAAGGCCTTAGTAAAATCATAAGCAAGTTGATTTTCACCGCTAACATGCTCAAGAGTTATGACTTTATCTTCAACGAGTTCTCTGATAAAGTGATGCTTGATATCAATATGTTTAGTCCTACTGTGATGAATAGGATTTTTGGAAAAATTAATAGCACTCAAGTTGTCATAGAATGAAGTAATGACATCTTGTGTGACATTATACTCAGTCAACATTTGCTTCATCCATATTAATTGAGAACAGCTGCTATCTGCTGCAATGTACTCATCTTCAATTGTAGATAGAGAAACATAATTTTGTTTCTTGTTGAACCATGAAATCATATTATTATCCAAGAAGAAACATTCTCTAGAGGTACTCTTCTTGTCATCAGCACTTCCAGTCCAATCAGCATTGCAACACCTCACTAACATAGAGTTTGAATCATGAGAGTACAATATTCCATAGTCATATATACAATTCAAATATTTTATAATCCTTTTTACTTGATTGATGTGGCTTACTTTGGATTTTGCTTGATATCTAGCACACACTCCAACAACAAAAGTTATATCTCGTCTGCCTGTTGTAAGATATAGAAAACTACCAATCATGCTTCTATATAAACTCTAATCAACACCAACTCCCTTTTCATCTTTGGATAACTTCAAGTGTGTAGGAGCAGGAGTTCTTTTATGGATTGAATTCTCCAATCCCAATATCTTCACAATATTCTTTGCATATTTGCTCTGACAAAGAAAGATGGAGTCTTCTATCTGCTTGACTTGTAGTCCAAGAAGTATGTTAACTCACCTATCAAACTCATTTCAAACTTAGATTGCAGCTGCTTGACGAAATGTTGTACCATCTTGTTGTATCCCAAAATTTATCCTCTCATTTTACTCAACACGTGCCTATTGAGGTCCTCAACTTGCCCAATGATGCCCAAGAATTGATCAGACAAAGTCTCCTCCTAAGGCAATGAACCCCCAACTAGGGTTTTCATTTGAATCATGATGTGTCAACTCCAAAGACTTAAATTGATTTCCATGGTCCTATTATGCCTCCAAGAATGTCCATGACAAATTTCATGCTTTGCAGAACAAGTTTGCACAATCAATTGCCCAAATGCCTGAAAATCAACTATACTAGGTCAAAAGTCAACAGTGGCATATATGCAGTCAAACTTCGAGATTTTTTGTCAACAACATCGTTTTGAAGTGATAATTATTATTTGATCAAGGTTTGACCATGATTCCTCAAGAAATTCTACTAATTCATCAAAAGTCAAATTTGCAAAGTTAGGGTTTCTATAGGAAAAGTCAACTAAACTTTGATTGAGCATAACTTTCTCATACTTTGTCCATTTGGCCCCAACCAAAGCCCATATTGAAGATAATCCAATTCCCTACAATCCATCTTTTATATTCAAGTTCAAGAAGTGCACTATTTGAAATATGTAAGCTCATACATTACATGTCATTTTCAGAAAGTCAACAAAATACACTTTTTGTCCAGACCTTTTACATCAAGATGACATCTTCAAATTAAAAAATGATCAAAAGAGGGATTAAAGGTCTTAAGGTCTTCTTCCATCACCAAATGCTCGTCCCAGATAATCTTAAAAAATCTCAACTCTGACAAATCAAGTGTATGATAAAGGAAGAAAGCTTGAGCTTTAACTTTATCAAAGCCCTAGTCACCCGCCAACAAATTCTACGTCATGACAACTTCAAGCTTTCCATTCATAATTTTAAAAATAAAATCTCGCTCAGAGAGTTGGGCCTTCAAATCTTCGATGACTCTTTTAGATTTTGACAATTTGTAACAAAGTTCGCTCTGATCAGAATAAGAGGCCTTTTGGCCGCTTTGAGATATTCCAAGTCTTTTTCGAGAGAGCTTATATGATCGTTGGCCGAGGCCGCTAAAGCATCATTTAACTCCTGGGACTCTTGCAGCTTCTTTAACTACCCTTTCAACTCGGTCTCATTTTTTCAGAAGAATCAAAGACCTCAAACAGGGTTATGCACAACACTATAGCTTTCATCAAATAAGTGTTGATATTCTGAATCAATTTTGGAGCACCCACTGACTTAAACTTCTCAACATCCCCTTGATCATTTAGATGATCATACAGGAAGCGTAAGTCGTCATAAGAGAAGTCCCAAAACTTAAACTCTGAAGGACGAGAAGTGGATCCCCCAACCTCGATACTAGAAATAGAACCTTCAAGAAAGCCCTCAAACTCGTCATCCTGACTCATTTTTGAAACATCGGCGGAGGAATTTTTTCCCTAGTCGACTTTATTTTTCTTCAGAGGAGGGCAGATAAGGGTTTTGACGGGAATGGGTGTGCTTTGGGAAAATACCTCATCCACGTCAGTTTTTCTCTTTTTTGGAACCCGGACAAGGATACCTGACAGATTCACTCTTCCCGACACTTTGAGCTTCTCCACGAAGACTTTTTTGCTTTTCCAGTAAGGGAATCTTCTCTCGAAGGTTCAAACTTGCCATCCTTTTAGCAAAATGATAAATTTTAATTAATTAGACAAAACATAATAGTACTATTACGGGTGAGGAACAAAATGAAAAGTAAGGGACCGTGGCCAGAAACAAAGTCCTTACCTAAAAGCTCTAAAGACTAACTACATCATTTTCCAAACTTAACACATCACGTACTGACATGACCCAGAGGCATCAAAAAGATCAAATATTTCCCTATATGTTTCACTCAATTTGATAAGCCCAAAATCATTAATAGGAGCGGGACTTTGAGTCCGACAAAGAGGAAAGCAGTAAGACTCGTCATCCTTATATATGACTTTTAGACATCTGCTACTACCTCTCACCTTTAGAAACTTATGTTTAAAGTTTTTAAAGTTCAAGGAAAACACTTTGAACAAACCTCGACCAGGAGTGCCCGACAAAGAGATCCAACCCCCACTTCCTACTCAATTAGCTTCGTAAGATGAAAGAAAAATATACAATGTAGGAGTGATGCCCAAGGCACCATACACTATTTCAAATGCCTTCACGAATCCCAACCTATTGGGTTCAAGTTGAGAAAGAGCAATGTTTAGAACGGTTAACAAGTCGACCTCGAACTCGGTAAAGGGAATCCCTACTCGAAGGGTTTCCAACAGATCCTCGTAAAAATATTTAAAAAAAATTATTTTGAGACTCGGGAGGATGGTACATGCACACCTTCTCGCCTGGGATACACGACTCAATAATAACATCACCCTTTTCGCCGGTGTTTGAAATGGTAAGACCCTCCCTAAATGAATTAACATATTTTTTATCGAAGCACATTGAGTCATACTTCAAAACCACTGGACTGAAGGAAATCGTGGGAAAGCTCTATGGTGATATCGATCGAACCTGAGGAAGTAGACATTAAGTCTGTGTCACTAGAGAAAGAAAGGTTGTCAAAATCACCATAAACCTTTTTACATATAAAATCCCAGTCGGTGTTATCCATTTTTTACCCAAAAGTTTTCACATAATCATCTCACAAATAATGCATTTCGAAAACAATAATGAGAGTCATTACCCTACCCATTTCATCACACTCGCGGATAACCACCATTATAGAAGAAAACAAGAAGACAAAACAAGAAGAAGAAGAAGAAGAATTATTTGATTAAAACCAAAGAGAAGCGTTTTGGTGTTTGGAGTAGTGAGGAAACTTTGAGCTAAGGAAAACACAAGGAAATTTGGAAACAAAAAGGTTTAAGATAAATAAATAATGATGACGTTAACGAATAGACACCGTGACTAGGTGGATAATCGCTAGTCATTAGGCATAATAATGGTACACAGTCCCCATAAAGAGTAATCATTACGGATATACCAAAAGAAAATGATTTAGAATAGCGAACATTTAAGCCTGACACAATGACCCACGTGCCCAAAATGGGGATTCAGCTCTTTTTTTCGAGATATATATTCTGGATTAACCCACCTTGGAAATCACAGTACCTACCAAGAAGCCAAAAGAGCTTCAACCCTTCACGTTTCACACTTGGAGGATTATGTACATTCGCGGTGTATATCCCGAATTACCTACCAAGACTCCAAAAGAGCTTAAGTGCTTCAACCCTTCACGCCTTGCGCCTGAAAAACTATGTACATAAATGTTTAGCCGGACAGGTACCTCCAAAAGAGTCTCGGACTTGTACCTCCAAAAAGTCTCAAGAATGACTTCAACCAAATAGAAGAAGAGCATTCGTCCGAGATGTTAAAGCTAGTATCAGAATATTTTGAGAAGAGGCTCAAGAGCGAGATCGAGAAATCATTTAGAGTCCTCGAACAATAACCTTATTCATATACTCTGAAGTCAGACCCAAAATGTATGAACGAAATCCACGCCTGACCAAGTCAGCCGACAAAGCAAGATACACTCGCATGAATGATATTCAATGCCCTTTACTTTACAAATCTCTTGGCGACAGAAACCACAGTAATTATGACTATCCTCATTCCGTTGGTAATAAGCATTATAAAACAGTAGTCTCTAAACAATAGAGACCAAGCAATCATTCCATCTGAATCTCGCAAACAGTGCGACTTCTCCCGGCCCTATGCTTTAAAAAAGAAAAACTAAAGACAAATTATGGTGTTTGAAAACAAAAAATAAAATAAAAACCAGTTTCATATATATTTTGCAAGTCAAACAAATAATGAACCGGTTTCATTTTCTTTATTTATAAATACTTCTCATAGGATAAATCAATGTCAACCAGCATATTCCTTAAAATGTGTAACCAAATTTATAGTTTTTTTTTTTAATTGAGAATGTTGACTATCTGCAAACAAATAGAACCATAGCAAATAAATTGACAGCAAATCATTCTCTGATCATTTGACATAAATCTATCAAAATATATTATTCCACAAACATAATGACATTTATCTACATAGAGGATGATCACCACACCCACACATAGTTTTCTCTATAGTACACACTTGTCATTCACCTGAAACTTTTCCAAGAAAAAGATGCTGCGATTTTAATAATCTTCTCTCAAGATAACACAAACATTAGTTTATCCAGACCAACAGTCTATACAGAATCTACAAGCACATCGCCCTGCTGCTTAGCAAGGTATCTTTCCCTCCTCTCTTTCTGAAAAACATAACAAGGAATTATATTATAAATTGAGCATTCCAAACGTAAGTACCACAAAGAAGATATTTATCGAAATTCAACTGTATATACCCATTCGTCTATGACAAGCCCTTCTCCTATTATTTTAGGACCCACATCTTCTGCAGGTTTCTTTCGTGCTTCAAGGGCAGCATCAGCATCGGCCAGCTGTCGCTTCAATTTTTCCAAAATCTTAATGAAGAAAAATAGAACCTTATAAGTAATACACATTTGATTAATGTGTTATATCAGAGTACACACAACTTAGAAACAGAAAACCAGAAATAGCTGATACTGAATGTCTCAACCACAGTAAGAATTGAACGAGAAAATAAATCTTGCAAGAACCACAAAAACTGGCTCAAATACAAGAAAGTGTACACTGAAGATATCCGTACTCACAGGACTAGGGCGATCTGGATCTAGAAAAACAACACGCAGAATTTGCTCAACTGCTACCTGGTCCTTCTGCTCATCAAACTGTTTCAAGGGGCAAATTGAAGACAGTTAAAGCGGCTGAATTAAAAAGTAAAATATTATACATTATTTTTGGTTAATTATAACATAAACCAAGGAACAACCGATTCAATGCAGTCGTATTAATAGCAGTGTGTGTGTTTTTTAAAAATGGTAAATGTTTGTATTATGTTGTGGGTGGATATCGAACCCTCAACCTCCTTATCACTTAACTGCAAACAGCTCCACCAGACCAACCCTAGAACCCCTAATAGTGCTTGTGTTTGTGGGTGTGAGAGATAGGTAACTCAAGAATATATCCAGTCCCATGATTGCAGGATGCTCGTGTTGAAAAAGGAAGGGGACTTGAAAAGAGAATGCAGGCAAGACAACATCGTCTCATTTTTTGACAAAAAAAAAAATTAATCAAAATAAAATTAACTAACCAGCTCAGGGACATAATCAATTGAACCTTTGACCTTCAAACTCATGATTTTAAATTTGAGTCCACTTTTTTCGGGCTTTTCATTATTTTCTGGTTGTTCTACAAACTTGAACACTAGTAAACAGAATACAGATTAGAAAGATGATTAAACCTTGTATTTATTATATGTAGAGAAATCGAATATTGCCTACCCGTTGCTATGATACTATCGCCAGGTGCAAGGATAGCCCCAGGCGGACGCATGAAACAACTTTTCGGTGCAGTTGTTTGAAACTATAAAAATCAAAGAAAAATCTCAGAACAGATGGCTAAATTCCAGACCTAATTTAGAATATAGGAAGATTCATCAAATTATACAATAAAAAAGGAATAATTCTGTTCAAAACAGTGACATAGTAGTAAAAGTAAGAATAGACAGTTGAGTTCAAGACTTCAAAATACCTCAACAACAAGAATTGAAAACGAGGAAAAGGAATGTATAAAACAGGGGAATAAATGAATAGTGAACATGTTTCATTATTATATCTTGAAGCCACATAGGGGTAAATAAACAGGTGAACATGTTTCACTATACCTTGAAAGCTACATTACTTTTACTGGTGTTCTTAATTCTGACAGCACTCCTAACCTGTTTTCCTGGCTCATCTACACATGACAGTATCGAAAGAAGGGATGAATTAAGTAATACAAAGATAAAATAAATTAACAATCCTATAGAGAAGTACCAGAATAAGGAATCTATAAAACAAAAATGAGCACGCGCCCATGAGTCTGCATAGTATTACTGTCTCTGAACCTAAAAGTAGAGACAATGGAAGGAACATGATCACAAAGGGATATTTTCTATCATATTTTTCATCTAGCACATTTGTTTGACCATCTGCTTTAAAAGTTTACAGTTTCTGCACCATTAAAACTTGAAATCCATGTAACTTATGATCGGTATCTGAGTTATGCACATCTATCTTATGCAAAATCTGCCACACATACATATATCATTTTCAAATTTCAAGACAGACAACTTTTTAATAACTCAAAAACAATGGAAAGTAACTTCTAATTTCTATTACGTGCACGGTAAGGCATTATTGCTTCAATTCCGATTTAACGGCTATACAGAAAGATAAAAACAAACAAATAAACAAATAAAATTCTAATATAGTAGAACTACACAATTAATATTCCAAATAATCTAGTTTTAGCAGAAATTCACTTATGCTTATGCAGACAGGGGAAAATGATTCTCTGACAATAAAGGACTACAAATTGAAACAAACAAAATATTTATCTGCATCATGTAGGTATGCTTTCATTATTTCAAAGCACAAAACTAACCCCAGAACTAAAATTAAAGTTTTTTTTTTAAATCTTGATATACGGCCTTGGGACCGAGTCCGACTAATCCAAGGGGACCTGTTCTGGACTGGGTCCGCATCTGCCCTACCGTTGGGGAGGCTCAATCCGGCGCCTTTACAAGGCCCAAAAGCATGAGCCCAAACTGAGGACCGTTGGGCATTTCCCCACGTGTCCCCTAGAAGAAAATGACTCACGTTTCCGTAACGTCATTATCCTACCCTCCAAGAATAACGGGCCCAACTTTCCTACTTTCTCGGGGCAGTTGACCAGAGAGGAGGCCACGTGCTGGACTCCATACACCCGTAAACCCTGACAGTCTCCATTATTGAGCCTCATCGTGGCCCAACGCTGGAGATCTTGGCCCAGCGCTGGGGGCTATAAAAACCCTCTCACTTGAGAGGGTCAGGTATTCATTCACTCATCCATACTCACTTTACTTGCTCTTGTTCTGAATCTTATTTTGGCATCAGAGTGTCTTGCAGATACCCCCACTTCACATTAAACCGCTACTCAACTTGAAACTCGTGGGCCTTGACGATCCCTTCTGAACAGGCAGACCAGGACCAATCTCAGAGTCCATTTGAGGGGACCCGTTTAAAGCCAGAGAGCTAAGCTCTATATGGACTTGGGCCACACAGGAATTGTTTGCATCCAACGGAAACCTTGAGAGGAGCATACTCTAAGGACCCAAGCCTTCACCACTAGGTCAACCCCCAGGGTATTGACTATTGACCGGACTTATTGATTCAATGGTGAAAAACACACTTGCCCATGATGCAAAACTATTTTACCTGTGCATATTAGACAGAGCCTTGTTCTAAAAAAACAATCTTATACCCCAAAAAAAACTCAAGCTATCGAGCCTTAGGAAATTTTCCATTTTCGCAACAAAACAATTCCTGATTGGCAACACGAACAACCATTATTTTTTAAGCCATGTTGAAAGAAACAGACAATGATTTTAACCCAAATTAAAATTTCTAGTTTTCGATCGTTTAATAATTAACAACCTCGCCTCATAATTAAACTGAAATTAACATCAGTTAATAGACCCAAATAGATCACGATAAAATTATTAATTACTAAGCATTAAATTGCATGCAAAGGAAAACGCAAACATGAAAAAAACTATACGAGATATAAAAATTAAGATGCAAAAAAACGGGAAAGAGAAGAAAGAGAGAATACATACAAGGGAAGTAAAGCTTGTTGGAAGGATCAAGCTTGAGACGACGTCGTGTTGGGAGAAGCGATCTGGCAACGGAGGAAACAGAATTGGAAGATTGAGAAGATGAACCTTCAAGCGGAGGAGGATTGTGCGCGTTACTGTTAGGGTTATGGTGATGTTGATGATGATGAGGATGATGAAGGTTAGGAGAAGACGACGTCGTTCCGGTGAAAGAAGTGGTGCTGGAATGGCGAAAAGGAAGCTTGAAGAAATTCCAGACCTTAGGTTCGGAGTGAGGTTTGGGTTCAACTACGGCCATTTTTTTCTCTGCTGTGACAAACTAAAAAGGAGAGAAAGAAAATGAATGAAAGGAAACGAGGGACTTGACTTTTACATATTACGATTTCAAGTTTTCAACGCAAGGAAATTGGTGGAAACGACGTCGTTTGGTTTACTGTAGTTTTTTGAGAAAGTTACACTCACCTCCTCTTCGAAGTTTATTGAAACAACATAGACAACTCCTCTAATCTTGAATAACAAAATAGATATCTTTATAATTTTTAGTGACAACAAAAAATTATAGATATAGATGATATTTATTTATAATTTTTTGTTTATCACTAAAATAT